ATCACAAGATCCGCCCCTTCGCCTATAGCCCCACCCACCTTCTGCCCTGTGCCCCGCCCACCTCGAATCTGGCCCCTCCCTTCACCATTGCCCATCCAGCCTCCTTCCCTCCCGGCTAGGTCCCAGCTCTTCTCCCTTCTCTAGCCCTTGGCTGAGACCACCCCACCTCCAGCCCTGGCCCTGCCCCTTCCAAGAGAAGACCCGCCCACCATGGCCCCTCCTCTTCTCTCGCCCCGCCCCACTCCGGCAGGCCCCGCCCCCTGCGGCCTCTACCTTTGGCGTCTTCCCCTGAGAGGTGCCGGAGACAGGCTGCCGAATGCGGGTGGGTCTCTAAGTCAGAGGTCCCGGCGGGCGCCGCGGGAGGCAGTGAGGTGACAGTGAACCTGCGGCTCATAGTGCGGAAAGGGGCCCGGCGGCGGCGGTACGGGCCCAGATCGCACAAGTGGCTGCAGCCCGGCTCTAGCAGACAGAAAGAGCGGACTCCCCCTCGTCCGCCGCCCCCCACCGGGCGCGGCGCCGCGCAGGGTCCTAGTGCCCGCTGTGCTGAGCCTCAGAACGTGGCCATTTCGCTCCAAGTCCCTGGGCTCTCAATTCTAGGAAACGCCTGAGGATCCCACCTGCAGCTGAGAGCCGTCCCTACACCGGGGGCCCCAGTGTGTGGCTCCTGGAGCCCAGGCCCACCTCTGCTGGGGTCTCCTAAACACCTGGGTTTTACTCACTCATTCATTCATTCATTCATCGCATCTTGATAGCGCTCCTGGGTTTCAGGCAAAGGTACAAGGCACTGCGGATACAGCACTGCCTGAGATCGACCGGCTGCCTGCCCTGGTGTGGCTTAAATTCTAATGAGGAGCGAGGGGAGAAAGATTGTAAGTGAGCAAACGCATAGACAAGATAATTTGAGGTTCTGGAATATGTTAAGGAGAAAAACTAGGATCCAGGGATAATGACTAGGGGGAAGGACTACTTTAGAGGGTGACCTAAGAAGATTCCTCAGAAGATGTGATACGTGAGCTGAAACCTCCCTGGTGAGAAGGAGCCAGCCATGCAAAGATCTGGGGGAAGAGCTCTCCGGCAGAGAACATAGCAAGTGGAAAGGCCCTGGGCTGAAAAGGGGCCTGGACTGTTCAGGGAGCAGCAAGAAGGCCAGTGTGTCTGGAACAGAGTGAACAGAGGTGAGAGTGATAAGAGATGAGGGAGGGGGAAACGGCAGATCATGTGGCCTCTTGAAGGTTTCAGAGAGGAGCCACTGGAAGTTTTTGAGCAGAGGAATGATGTGATCTGCCTTATATGTTAACGGGATCACTCTGGCTATTGCATGAAGACTCCACTAAAAGAGAGCAGGAGTGGAAACTGGGAGTCTAGGTAGGAGGCTCCTGCAGAGCCTCATGCGAGAGGTGGTAAAAGCCAGACTAGAGTGGTGGCATTCATCCAATTCAAGGTATGTTTTGGAAGTAGAACATACAGAACCTGTTGCTGAATTGAACGTTGTGTGGGATGGAAAGAGGTGTCAAAAAGGACTCCTGGAAACGGTCACACATTGCTGGTGTGAGCATAGATGGTCAGAACCACTTTGGAAAATTGTTCGATCATATCTGCTCAGGCCGAGCATGCCTATACCTGTCTTCCCAGCATTTCCTCTCTGAGGTATGTACCCTGCCAAAGCACTTGTATGAATAAGTAAGATTTAATACATTTGAATATACAATATCCTACTTTTGCTTCTACAATTTCTCAACACATTTCTAATTGCATCGTTATTTGCTGTACTAGGTATACTAGGTGTATGCCCCAAAGAAATGGCTGCCCATGTTCACCAAAAGACATTTACAAGAATGTTTATTGCAGCATTATTCATAATAGCCTCAAACTGGGAACTACCCAAATGCCCATTAACCATAAAATGGGTAAATAAAAAAATAAATAGTGGGACATTCATACAGCGGAAAACTATAGTGTGAATGAACAATCTATAACTCACAAACAATATCTATGAATATCACAAATAAAGCCTTGAGCAGAAGAAGCCAGATGCAAGAGTACGTACTGTAAAATACTATTTAAAGTAAAAACTAGTCAAAATCTGTCTAAGCTGTTAGAAGTAATGGTGGTAACTCTTGGGGTGGAGGGGTAGCGATTGCGAGGGAGCAGGAGAGGGGCCATAATGTTTTGTTTCTTGATCTGGATGTGGGTTACACAGTTGCATTCAGTATGTGGAAATTTATTGAAATGTACACTTACGGCATGTGGACTTGTCTGTATGTTTATTCTATTAGAGCAATAGTTCTCAACTGGGGTTAGTGTTGCCCACCAGGAAACACCTGGCAATGTTCGGAGACATTGTTGATTGTCACAACTGGAGGGCAGCGTTACTGACATCGAACGGGGAGATGCGTCTTGTGCCGTCCAGGCTAGCACCAGGTCGGCCTGGCGTGAGCCACAGGTTCCCCATCACTTCCCTGCACTCCACCCCCACATTGGGATCCAATGTAGGGAGAGGAGGACTGACCCTGAGTGGGTCTGCCATCTGTCCATGATCCCACTACCCCCTGGAGGAAGACACCAAACATTCCTACAACATTCCCCACCACTAAAAAAATTCTTTAGCCCGAAATGTCAATAGTGCCCAGGTTGAGAAACTGTACTAGAATAAGGAGTTCAACTGATACCTAGGTTTTAGTACTCATCAGGTTCTAAGACTGATTGAGAGCAGATGATGTCATCAAGGTAGTAATGACTGAAGCACGTTCAGAAGGTGGATCCCAAGAGTTCGGTTGGACCTGTTAGGCTGAGAAGCCTATCAGGCCCCTAAGGATCATGCAACTCGGCCCTTGAACATACAAGTCTGGAGCTCAGGGGAGAGGTTAAGGCTGAGGATATAGACTTTGGGAGTCTTTAGTAGAGAGATCTAAAGCTGTAAGCCTGGACGAAATCCCATGGAATGAGTGTACACGGAGAAGTCCAAGGATTGAGTGCAAAGGCATGCTATCATCTAGAGGTTAGAAAGAGGAAGATCCAGCCAGTGAGGTGGGGAGAACCAGGAAGGGGTGACCCAGAAACTGAGCGCAGAACGGCATTACCAACTGTGTTGACCAAGCTGAGAGACCCGTAGGATGAGCCCAGAGGGCCCGTCACATCTGCTTACAGGAAGTTCATCGGTGGCTCGGAAAAGAATGATTTCGGCGGTGTGGTGGGGTGGGAGTCAGGCTGAAAGTGGTAGCAGAGAGAATGGAAATTGAAGAAGTGGAGACAGTGAGTGGAGACTATCCTTTGGAGAAGTTTTACTGTGGGTGGAGTGAGAGGTAGAGAGATGGAACAGTATCTAGAGAGAGACAGAGGTTCAGAGGGGCTTTAAATACGCCCTATTAAGGAATGGGGGCATGCCCCTGGGAGTGCGTCATTCCTCAGTAAGAAATGGATGAGGTGGGTTTGAATCCACCTAAAGGAAGCTCGGGAGGAAGTTCTCTGAGTCCCTCAAACTCCCACTTGGGCCTGAGTCCAAAAGGCAATCAAATCTGAACATGCCCATCAGCTCCGCTCACCTGCCCTAACCCTCCAGTCAAGTCCCTCTGCTTTCCTGTGGGGTCATGTCCATGCTCCTCAGCCTGGCATTCAGACCTTGTCTCATCTAGTCCAGACCACCATTCCCCTCAACCATTCCAGAATCCTCTCTGCTCCACTGCCATCTGCCTCCTAAAACCACACACTAGAGTTCGGAGCCATTTCTCATTCCCCCAAAAGCCCCCCCTGCTTTTTCTCTTCTCCCAGGCTTTGCCCCAAGAGCCCGCAGTCAAATCCCACTGCCACCAGTCACCAGCTATGGGACTTCTGCTGAGCTGTTTAATTCTCTGTGCCTCAGTTACCTCATCTGTAAAACGGGGGGAGGGGGTGATGGCAGTAATACCCATAAGGTAAGAGCAGTACCTGCCTCGTGGGTTTGTTTTAAGGATTAGCGGTGTTAACACGCATAAAGCGCATGGCACAGCGCCTGGCACAGAGTCCGTGTTGGACTAAGGGTAGCTATTATCATCATGTACACCATATTCTATTTATCCGCTGCCTGACGTCTGTACACTTAGGATGTTGCCATTTCTCACTCCACAAGCCATACTGCAGTGTCCCTCTATCTGTTGTTTTGTGCGCATGTGTGTGAGAGATGGCATAGACAGATTTTTAGGTTTAACGGTTTCTAGTAAATTACCCTCTAAGAAGACCGTTCTGCTTGCACAGGAAGAAACTCTTGCTCATCTTTCCAGATTCAGTTCAAGTTCAGATGTCATCTTGGCTGAGAAATGTTCCCTGACTTCAGCCACAACATACAGAATCACATATACACACGGTTATTCTAGAATAAAGGGCCACACGCTGCACACTCTCCAAGTGTGATTCCCACCCCCACCAGACAAAGAATCACCCTGGTAACTGAGCAGGACTCTTTGGGGACTGAGCCTGGAGTCTGCATTTTAAGCAAGTTCTGAGGGCACTCGTGTACCTAAAGTTGGAGGACCCCGAGAGGTCCTTGAGGACAGAAACATAATCCGATTCATCTCTCCTCCAGCACCCAGCACCCAGCACAAGGCCTGGCTCCACGCAGGAGCTCAATAAATGTTTGATGAATGAATAATATGTTGGCCATTTCCCCAGCTGTAAAATAGAAGTAATCACATTATATCTTCCTAATAGGAAGAATGAATGTTAATATTCATGAAGTGCTTAGGACACTACCTGGTCCTACAGGCGTGCATGCATACATATATACACAAATCTGCTCCTCAAGGGCGCCTGGGTGGCTCAGTTGGTTAAGCGACTGCCTTCGGCTCAGGTCATGATCCTGGAGTCCCAGGATCGAGTCCCGCATCGGGCTCCCTGCTGTCAGCAGGGAGTCTGCTTCTCCCTCTGACCCTCCCCCCTCATGCTCTCTCTCTCTATCTCATTCTCTCTCTCAAATAAATAAATAAAATCTTTAAAAAACAAAAAAACAAAAAAAACAAATCTGCTCCTCAAGGTTAAAGAATTCAAGTTTATTAAAAACATTCCAGCAAAAAAGGAAGGTGGAAAGAGAGGGGCCCAGCCCACCTCAACTCTTCCTTATCCTCCAGAACAAACCCACCAGTTTGTATCCGGCAAACTGGCTCCTTCTCCATTGGGATGGTCCCCCTAGGATCCACTCTGCAGTGCCGAAGCGGGATGGGAAGCCCTAATCCTTGGGGCACTGCAGGAAGTCAAAGGTCACGTAGCCCACTTCATCCACCTGGTTCACCTCATTCCGAGAATTCACACGCCAGTAGAAACAGTCCTGGCAGAAGTAGGCTTTCCCTGCAGGGGGAAGGCAAGTACGAGAGAGGTGATTCCAACCCTCCCACAGACACATATAGAAACAGGAGCAAGATCTTTGCCATGGTCCCTCTTGGCCGTTCTAGATCTTTCCAAGCTTTTCAAAGGACACCTCCATCTCCCATCCCCCCCCAGAGATGTCGGAGGGCAGGAAACCTCAATGTCCGAAGCCCTGGCACCAAGCCTGGCACACAGTAGGTGCTCAGAACAAATCATTCGACATTCATTCATTCAGTCATTCATTTCATCAAATATTTATAGTGCTCAGAGGCACCGGGGGGATACAGCAGAGACAAAAATGCAGGCACGGTCTCAGTTCTGCGGCTGCTCACACTCCCGTGGGATAAGAGAGACGATTAACAAGCAAACACGTAAATAAATGAGACTGTGACAATGAAGGAAATAAAAGCAAGTAGGTGAATAACGCATGAGGGCCAGAGAAGGTCTCTTTGAAAAGGCAGCCTAAGCGCTGAGAGCCGAAGGGTAAAAGGGAGGCAGCCCCCACACAGTCTGGGGAAGCTTCCAGGCGGAGAGAACAACTGGCGTGGAGGCCCAAAGCTAGGAGTGACCTTGATGTGTTCAAAGAGCAGCCAGAGGCCATGCGGGTGATACGGGTGATGTGTGATGTGGAGCAGAGAGATTGACAGGAGTGCTGGGAGGGTAAGAGAGCAGATCAGATCCCGGAAGTTCTTTTCTTTTAGGATTTTATTTATTTATTTATTTATTTATTTGTCTGTCTATCTATCTATCTATCTATCAGAGAGAGAGAGCACGCACAAGCAGGGGGAGCGGCGGGCAGAGGGAGAGGCAGGCTCCCCGCTGAGCAAGGAGCCTGTTCGGGACTCAATCCCAGGACCCTGGGATCATGACCTGAGCCGAAGGCAGACGCTTAACACCACCCAGGGCTCCCAGTAGTTTCTTTGACCTTGGAACGGGTCTGGAGTCGCCTGCAAGACCATGGCCCTCCATTCCTAACCACTCCGTACTTGTAGAGAGTATCTTCATGGTATTGAACAACCAGTATGGCTTGGACCAGGGTATTTGCAAAGGAGATGGTGAAAAGTGAATATTTTGATAGTAGAGTCAACAGAACTTGTCAGGTGATTGCATGTGAGTGGGGAGGAAGAGAAAGTTAAGTATAACTCCAGCTATCATCCCCATTTTACAGATGGGGAAACTGAGGCTCCGTGAGCAGCAGTGACTTGCTCAAAGACAGTTATGGATTGTCTTTTTTTTTTTTATCACTGTATCTCCCGTGTCAGCACAGTGCCTGGCATGTTACAGGCACTTGATAAATATTGTCTAATAAAGGAATGAGCCTCCATGCAAAACATGTGTCCCGTACTGTGGGAGCAAAGAGCTTCCAGCCGGGGAAGCAGGAAATCTGGGTTCTAGTTCTGGTTGTTCTCTTGTGTCCCTTTATGATCTGGGATAGGTCCCTGCTTCTACAGGGAACTTAATCTGGGCTGGGGCATTTGCCTCAATCTAGAGGGGATTTGCTTTTTCTCCCTCAGAATTTGACCAATCATCTGAGGCCAATTAGGTGGGAACAGGGGCACCCGGGTCTGCAGCCCTCACCTTGGTACTGGAAGACGTTGTGCGAGTTCAGGGGCACCCCGGGGAACAGCTGCTCCACGGAGCTGGGGGTCTTAGGATCAACGGTCTGCGTCTTCACGTCGAACCTGCAGGAAGTGGTGAAGAGACAGGTGCTGGGCCGGAGGGCCGGCGGATGGCGCCCGGGGTCCCCCTGCCGGCCGTCGCTGTGACTCTCACCTCCAGAAACGCTGCCAGCTGAACAGCAGCACCTTACCCCCGCCTTGCGGGAGGGCCCCAGTGACTTGGGCCACCTCCGGTCCCAGGCCCAGCTTGTCCAGACGCCTCGGGCCTAGCACCGACGCGCCTGTGTACACCCACACTTGGCGCCCTGCAGGGAAGAAAAGCCGCATCGGTCTGGGGGCAGGGAGTGGACACATTGTCTTTGAATGTCAAGGGGAAGAACCAAGCGAGGCCTTTCTGCGCCCGACGTGCCCGCAGTCTCGGTGCCCACGGAGTAGAACCGCTCCGTAGGACGATGCAAGGGGACGGTGAAGATCAGCTAAATTGCACCCGCCAGAAGGGGGCGCCTTTTCCTAATCCGCGGAAAATGTATCACGTATTACACTCGGTCTCTCGGTCTTCCTAGATTGGTGAGGATGTGGATGGCGGGGGCGGGGGGAGGAAAAAGGAGGAAACTAACCAGAGAAGAAGAAAATCTTCTTGGTGAGCGGGTCCTCAAAGGCGGAGTCCAGCTTGTGGGGCAGCGCCGGCCACGAGTCAGTGATAAGGAAGGGACCCTGCATCCGGCGCCCCTTGCCCTCAGAGAATCGCCAGTACTTCCTGGGAATGAGAAAAGGGACCGCGGGGCACTGAACTTTGAACCGAAGGTCAGTGGGCGGAGAGGGGCAGGCAGGTCCCTCCTCCAAATCCCCTCCCCCAGCTACACATCCCTGCCCCTTTACCCATCCTTGAAGAGATGCAGACGGTTCCCGATCTCCGCGATGGCGTTGAAGAAGTTCACTTTGCATATATCCTCTGCTGGGTTGAAAGACACTGTAGTGGCCTCAGAAGGGCCAGCAGTGGGGGGACCCGTGGGGCCAGCTGCAGGGGGGCCTGTGGGGCCAGCAGTGGGGCGCTCTGAGGGGCGGGTAGTGGGAGGCCCCGTAGGGCAGCCGGGTGGTGGAGCGGTGGGCTGGGCGGTTGGAGGCCGTGGTTCAGGGTCAGGGCGAGGACCTAAAAAGAGATAGCGGATGAGATATTCTCTATTCCTGCACACATCTGCGCTGGTGGACTATATGCCCCCCAAAACCCCATAAATGAGGCCCCTGGCACTCCCTCTTCTCACTTTAGGTGTTGGACCTGCCTTCCCCCAGTCACTGACAGGCTGATTTTTTCCCATACATTCACCTTTCATTCCAGTTATGTCTGTCCAGTCCCTGGGCTGTCAGGCCCTGATTGGGCCCTATGAACACAAGACATGCAGGGGCTCTCCCTCCGCCCGCCCCCCCAGGCTAGTGGGAAAGAAGTGTGTTTTGGGCACGCAGTTAGTGCTAAGAGCTTTATAAACTCACATTAGCTCATTTGACTTAAAAAAAAAAGTAGATTCTTTAATATCTCCATTTTTTAAAAAAATAATACTAATGATCATAAGTAATAACAATAAAATATTAAATACTTATATGGTACCTACTATATGTCAGGCATTATTCTAATTCATTTAAACCTCCTAACAACTCTATGAGGCAAGTACCACTATTAGCCCCATTTCACAGGTGAGAAAATTGAGGCGTGAAGTAACTTAGATGGTCACCTAGCCAGGGAGTGGCTGGACTGGCTTTTGAACCCACGTCTGTCTCAGTCTAGAGTCTGGGCTCTTTATCCCCATCTCCAAGCACTGACCAGGCAGCAATTGGACCCACTGGCCCCAGGCTTTCCCACAGATAAATGTTGAGGTCCCCACTCCCCCCCTCCATTTCCCCATTCTCGGTACAGCGACAAAGCCCTTCCCTTCCCTCCATCTTTTCCCTCCATCCCTGCCCCAAACCTCACCGTACAGATGCTGGATGCCCTTCACATCATCCTCATGCAGGGGGGGCCCCTCGGTGAAGCTGTACATGGGGTACATGAGTGCTTCCGGCACCGATGAGTGATCTAAACCCAGTGCGTGGCCGAACTCATGGGCGGCCACAAGGAACAGGCTGTAACCTGGAGGAAAGAAGACCCTGAGATGTGAGTCCTGGGCCGACCTCCCAGCCCTGGCCATCCCTCCCCCAACACCGCTGCCCCCAACCTTGGATCCCTGCTCACCTTGGTCCGGGCAGAAGCCCCACTTCTTGTCTCTGTCAAAGTTCGAGGTGGTGGCGCACCAGAGGTTCCCATCTCCGCGGCCCTCCCTGGTGCATGACGAGTACTCCTTGCCCAGGAAGATGAAGGGGAAGACACATGGCTCCCCTGCGGAGTTGCCCCCGGTCGCCGTGGAGTCGACTGAAGAGATAGAGAGCCTTGGGTGAGCCAGGTGGGTGGGTCCAATAAGGGACCAGGCGCGGGCCAAACAGGGAGCTAGATAATCCTGGTGTCCTATTTTAAAAGCCCAGGGGAGGGTGGGGCCACAGCTGCGACCCGGCTAGGGTGGTGGGCGGGGCCTGGGGACCGGAGACTAAGGGAGAGGCAGCAGGCTGGGCTAAAAGGCCAAGACCCAGGGAGGCGGGGGGCGGCACGTGGACCTCAGGGGGAGAGACTGTGATCATGGATAGGGAGAGGGCGATCCTGAGGCCCAACGAAGCGTGGAGAGACAAACCGATGGGTGGAGGAGCCACGTTTCGGGGACCAATGCGGAACTAGGGGGCGGGGCTGAATCTGGTAGGCGGGGCAGAGGTACCTCGGGTCGGGCAGAAGCCAAAGAGTTTGTCCTGGTCGTAGTTGGCCGTGGTGGCGCACCAGCGGTAGCCGTCCGAGCGACCGTCGGTGGTGCAGGTGGAGTAAGATTTGCCCTCGAAGGTGAATGGAAACACGCAGGGCTTGCCGTCCCCATTGCCGTCCTGGGTGTAGAGTCCTGGGGAGGCCCACACGACGGCCCGAAGGCGCCGTGAGTTTATTGACCCCCACACCATCTGTGCACTCCCTCCCTCCTCTCCCCATTTCGCAGATGAGAAACTGGGCCCAGAGAGCACGAGAGAGACTTGCAGGCCGCACAGCACTAGTGGCAGAGCCGTGATTAAAATCTAGGGTTGTGGCCCGCGGCGCGGCCCCGCACTCACTCTCGCTGGGGCAGAAGCCGAACCGGCGGTCGGCGTCGTAGTCGGCCGTGGTGCTGCACCAGGCCACGTCGTCGGAGCGGCCGTCCGTGGTGCAGGCGGAGTAGGAGCGGCCCTCGAAGGTGAAGGGGAAATGGCAGGGGGCGCCCTCTGAGTTTCCGAAGTAGGTCGGAACCACTGCAGGAGGAGGGGGACAGGGTCAGGGTGCCTGGCGATGAGTGTGACCAGAAAAGGGAATGGGGGCCGGGGAGGCTCAGGATCTCACCGACGCCCTTGCCCAGAGACCACAACTCTTCGTCGTCGAAGTGGGCGTCTCCCTGAATGCCCTGGCCCGGAGGAAAGGCGTGTGCCAGGAGCCCGTCCTTCCCATCGAAGGGATACCCATCTCCGTGCTCTGAAGAAGCAGGTGGAGAAGAAGGGAGTTAGCCGAGTGCAATTGTGCAGATGGCGCGCTGCTCAAGGGCGCTGCATTGAGTGTGGGCTGAGATGCCGCCTACGAGCAGCTGTCCAAGCCTTGCGTCCCCGCGCTGTGCCGCGTCGGGCAGGAGGGGGCGCATAAGGGCCACCGGCGGCCAGAGCTACGGGGACAAGCGAGACAAAGCCGGGTCCAGTGCCCGCTCTCTTCTCTCCATGGTCCTCCCACCGCTGTCCCCGTCCAAGACCCTCCTGGCTTTCCCCTTCTGGCGTTCTCACCCCTAACACCAAACTGAATGACGATGTCGGCTTCAGGGCCGTACACGCGAGTGAAGGTGAGCGGCGTCACCGCGCTCCAGAGCGCGAAGGCGCGGGCAAAGGCGTCGTCGATCACGTCGCGCGGCAAGTCTTCCGAGTAGTTTTGGATCCTGGAGGGGAAAAGCGCGAGGAGAGAGGTCAGAAGTGAGGCCAGAGCAGGGGCAGTAGCGACACCCGGTGTCTCAGCGACCTCAGCAAGCACAAGCCTCCCTGCGTTCCACGCTTTCATCTACAAAGCACTTGCAGACGCATTTTTCTCTTGGGACTCTCACAATGGCCCGAGAGGGAAGACTCAAGATTGCGTGCAAGACCCATTTTCCTGAAGAAGAAACGGGCTCAGAGGTGGAGCCACTTGCTCCAAGCTGCACATTTGAATCCAGGGATCGGTCTAAGGACGAGATCGCCGCCGGCGCGGGGTCTGGCCCTCCCACCCCACCCCTCCGCCTCCGCGGGGCCCGGCCGCGCACCAGTAAGTGATGTCGTGGTGGTGCCACTTGAGGTCGCCCTCAAAGGTCTGGAATCTGCCCAGGTCTGGGACGCCGCAGCGCGGGGCCCGCATGGCCTCCAGGGTGGTTTTGTCCAGCTCCCCAGTCTCAGGCAGAGACAGGCGCCTCTGGAGAAGCCGCAGCGCCCGACCTAGGGACTGCTTGTCGTCGTTTATCTCGGCCACATGAGTGTAGCCATAGCGAAACAGATACTCCTGTGGATGGAGGGGCAGAGATATTCCAGAGCCCTGACTCTTTCCCTGCCCTACCCTGCCCGGGTTCCCTCTGCCCAGGCACTCAGGGACTAGCAACTACCCAGGACTTGGTACCCAGGATACCAGGGCTAATGCCCACTCATTAACTCCCTTCCCTGTAGACATTCTCGGCTCCTTCCCACCCTGGGGTGCCCCTGGCCGGTGCCTCCCTCAGGGCCCCCTAGCATTTACCCCTGTCCACCCCAAGCCCCTGCCCACTCCAGAACCCTCTGATGCATCACCACCCCCATCATGTCCCATTGCCCACCTCGGAAACCCTTATTAGCCATTCTTGGCCATCACTGTCCCGAGCCTCTGAGGGCCCTCCAGGGCCTGATCCTGGACACCTCTATTCTCCAGACATGCCCATCACCCCCAACTTGCCGCAGGGTATCTCCTCTGAGGCCCCATGCCCTCCCTGCGACTCCTGGCCAGCCTTCCCCAATTCCAGCCTGGGGTATTAGCCTACCTCAGCCAGCTGCTTATCAGTGAGATCAGCTCTCAAGTCTCCGGGGAAGACCACGAGGGTGGGCTTGTGTGGTCTGGGAGCTGCAGAGCAGTAGCCCAGCACCAGGAGCACCAGGACCAGGGGCTGCCTGGGGCTCATGGTGAGGGTGGTGGTTTCTAGCTACAGCCGTCCTTGTGGGGGCCTTAAGAAGGCTCTAGTAACTGAATCAGTAGCCCCGCCCATCCCTGGCAGGCGGGGGCTGACTCAGGGGGTGGGGTGCGTTGGGGTGGAGGGGGCAGCCCAGCATGAGAAGGCAAAGAAAGGGCTTACACCACCTCCACCTCTCACCGCTGCCCACAGTTCCCAATGCCGAGTCAGGCAGGACCCCAGACCCACAGGAAACCACAGGCCCATAGGGGAAGGGTTGGGTTTTGCAAATTGCAGAGCTTGTGGGAACTGAATGAAAGCAAGGGAGGGAGCGGAGGCTGGACTCCCTGAGCTCACCACCACCACCACCACCACCACCACCGAAGGCCCCCCGAGTGGTTAGCCCAAGGGAGGGGGATGGAAGATTCCCCAAGGTGTCTTCCTGAACCCAGTGATCCCCCTTCCTGGTCAGACCCCATCCATGGGCCCCTTCCTACACTGCTAGACTCTGTCCTCTTTTCTCCTCCCTGGAAGCCTTTCCTGGCAGCTTCCTCTCCCTGCCCCACCTCGGGGCGGAAGGATTGGGCTCTGCTAGGCAGGAATTGGGGAATTCCACCATCGTAACCCCTGTCTTCCACAGTCTGATTCTTTCAGGATACTAAAGGGGGAAGTTTATGGCATCTGGAAGCCAGCCGATGGGTTTCGCTCTCTTCCTTCAGGGCCTCAGGCAAATGTCCTACTACTCTGAATCTGCTTCCTCAGCTGTGAAAAAGGACCCTTTGTCCCTAAACTGATGCGAGGATAAAATGAGATCAAACACAGAAAATGCTTACTACAGCGTATGTTGCAAGTCCTCAATAATGGCCTTGGTCGCTTTTAATTACCTGGCCCAAGACTGTGATTCCAACTTGAATCAGGAGATTGGGGTCTTGGGCTCTAATCTGCCGCGTGACCTACAATAAATGCCTTCCGATCTCTCTCGGTTTGGGACTCTTCAACTGCAAAATGGGGGAGGGGGGTGATCTCGGGGCCCTTTCAGTCTTCCAGCCCCTTCCCCACAGAGCACAAACTCTAGCCCCAGTTTTCACCAATATGCCTCCCTCCCTCTCCTCTTCCCCACCAGCCCCGTGGGGAAGGGTCTGTGTTTGCCTTCCCTGAGGCATCACGTGGGGAGGGCAACATAACAACCCAACAAGTTGGATTTAAAGGGCTCACTATGTGCCAGGCACTTTCTTTTTCTTTCTTTTTGTTTTAAGATTTTCTTTATTTATCTGAGAAAGAGCATGAGCAGGGGAAGGGGGAGAGGGACAGCTTATCTAATAGATGAATCTCTGAGATGAAGACATTTCACTTCCCTTATAGGAAAGTTGAAGCTCTAGAGTTCGCTAATCAATGAGCATCAGCTTTGGAGTCATGCAGCTCTGGTGTTCAGTCCCAGCTCTGCCACTGCCCAGCTGTGTCGCCTTGGGCAAGTCACTTCACCTCGGAGCCATAATAATCCTGCATTTCTTGAGATTCACTACACGTGGAGTACTGTGAGAACTTCCCTATAAGCATCTCATTTCAGCCCCACCACCACCTGTGAGGTAGATTTAATGAGTACCCCTCCTATTTTTAGAGGAGGACCCTGAGGCTCAGAGCAGTTAAGGAACTTGCCTATGACCATACAGCAGGTTAATTCACAGAACCAGGATTCAAGCCCAGGGCTGCCTGGCTCTGAAGTCTTTCATCTTTATCACCATTTACAGCGAAGTCAGATGACCAGAGGGGTGGGGGAAGGAGCTCAGGGAGGAGAGACTTAAAACCCAGCACCTTCTCCCCTGATCCCCTATGTCCACCCAAGAACAGAGAGCAGGCTCAGGCCTTTGGGGGAATCAGAGGCTAGAACGGGACCAGGAGTACTATATTCCAGATTTGAGAATGTGAGGTCATTGAGCAATTATCATTTTATTTTATTTTTTTATTTTATTTTTAAAAATATTTTTATTTATTCATTTGAGACACAGAGATACAGAGAGAGAGAGAGAGCATGAGCGGGGGGAGAGGCAGAGGGAGAGGGAGAAGCAGGCTCCCTGCCGAGCCAGGAGCCCGACGCGGGGCCCAATCCCAGGACCCCGGGACCACGACCTGAGCCGAAGGCAGACGCCCAACCATCTGAGCCACCCAGGTGCCCCTTTATTTTTTTTTTTAAGATTTTATTTATTTGAGAGAGAGAGCATGAGCAGGGATGGGGGGTGAAGGGGCAGAGGGAGAGAAAGAGAAGCAGGCTCCCCGCTGAGCAGGGAGTCCAAGGGGGGGGGTGGATCAAGACCTGAGCTGAAGGCAGACACTTAACCAACTGAGCCACCAGGCGCCCCAAGCAATATCATTTTAGAGATGGAAATAAAGAGACCCTCCCATCCAGGGGGTCTCCCTCTGGTGGCTGACTCAAGCTTTAGGAGACTCCACGAACCACCCCCAACTTGCCATCAAAGGTACAAAATATGTCGTGTCTATGTATGTATGTCAGTCATGTTTCTCGAATTTAACACTATTGACATTTGGCGCCAGATCAATTCTTTGTTTTGAGGGTCTGTCCTGTGCATCGTAGGATGTTTAGTAGCCTCCCCAGCCTCTCCCCACTAGGTGCCAGGAGCACCTCCCCCATGCCAGTTGTGACAACCAGAAATGGCAAACGTTGCCAAACGTCCTCTGGGTGGGTGGGAGGGGCAGAATCACCGCCAGTTGAGAACCCCTGATGTTTGTTGATTTTTTTGTATATAAAGGGTCCAAAACATTTATCATATACTCAAACCGTTGATGATGATCCTCAAATACTCAAGTATGTGTGGAGTTTTTATGGGCCAGACATTGTGCTAAGAATTTGGGAATGCAGTAGTCACCAAGATTGTCATTTGTCATTGTGCTAATGGAACTGAGCCCAGTAGGGGAGAAATTGAATGAATAAGTAATTACTAGAGAGACAGACATCACAAGGGAGCAGTGTACTAATCTACTCCAGTTACCCCCACCATGCAGATGAGGAAACTGAGGCACAGAGTAGAGAATTTACCTCTCTCCGGTCACAGAGCAAGCCAGTGACAGCATGGGTTGGACAGTAAGGAGCCGTAGCTCTAAGCCCACACTGTGGGGCCAAGCGACTGAAGTTCCGACCTCAGTGCCGGCACCACCTTGCTGTGTGATCTGGGCAACTGACAAACCGTGCCTCAGTTTCCCCATCTGTAAAAAACGGGGGTAATAATAGTGCTTACTTACCTCATGGGGTTGTGAGGGTCAAATTAACAGATATAAAGTGCCTGGCATACGGTAGTAAGTGCTTGCTGATATTTTAATTATGATGGCCATCAGGGTCAGGCCAGCTGGCTGTTTTTACCAACTCTGGGGCAGAAAGAGGACACCCAGCCAGGAACCCCTGGCTTCATTCCTGGAGTCAATCCAAACAAGAACCCTCTTTTCCTCATCCCCTCCCAACTTCCTCCTTTACCCACCACCCCCCCACCCCGGGCTCCCCAACCCCCGCATCAAGAGGAACTTGGGAGAGCACCCTTTCAACACAGCAATGGCAGGAAGTGGTTCTGGTTACCACATCCCCTTCCCCACTTCCCTCAATCCCTCCTTCTAACACCGCAAGTTTAGCCAAGGCATTTGGAGAGGAGGCGGAGAGCAGGATATTCCTCCAGGTGGGTACCCCTTGACCCTGACCGAGAGTCACAGCTGGGACTCTAAATCCCTCCCCCAGGTGGAGGTCCCATAAGATGGGGAGGGGGCTGGTCCTGGAGCCCTGAGTCACCAGCCGATGACACAGCCCTGCAGGCTGCTGTTAGTAACACCAGGCCCCCGGACCAACCGGGGTCAGCCTCACGAGGTGAGGAACCTCTTCCCCCTATGTAGGATGGGGAATTCCAAGCCTGTTCCTCCTGAACCTGCCAGAGACGGGAGGGGCAGCCAGGCCTGAGATGCCCCCGGCAGGAAATGGGAAAGACACTTGTGTCTGTGATGAAGCAGAAAGGTGTGTATACAGCAAGACACTGCCCCGGGGAAGAGCATCACCCAGGTCCCCGCCCCCACCCACAAACACACCTACCATCCCTGGCCCCAGGGTGGTGGCAATCACCAGTGGACTCTTATAGGCCTTAGTAATAATGTCTTGCCTCCCACTTATCTCTGTTGAGCTCCTTCAAAAGGACGCCAGATAGTAGAGACTTTGGAATCAGACCTCCTGGGTTCAAATTCCAGTTCCGACTACATCTGTCCGTGTGAACTTAGGCAAGTCACTTTGCCTCTCTGTGCCTCCATGGCCTCGTCTGTAAAATGGGGGAGAACAGTCCTCACTCAAAGGGTTGTGGTGAAGATTAAATGATATTATACGCTGCAAGTTTTTAGCACACAGTAGGTACACATACCAAAAAAAAAATGTTGGCTGTCCTGATGCCATTACTCTAATGCTCTCTCCTTTACGAATTAGGATTCACGATCCTCGGGGTGCCTGGGTGGCTTAGTGGTTAAGCATCTGCCTTCGGCTCAGGTCATGATCCCGGGTTCCTGGGATCGAGCCCCGCATCGGACTTCCTGCACAGTGGGAAGCCTGTTTCTCCCTCTCCCGCTGCCCCCTGCTTGTGTTCCCTCTCTTGCTGTGAATCTGTGAGGCTCAAGGAGTTGCCCGAGTCCACACAGCTAGCCAGGGGCAGACCTGGGATTCCACCTAGCTAGACACCAGCGCCCTGTTCTTTCTACCACATTCGGCATGTATGGCTAGACATGCTGGTGGCCAATCACCCCCATAGTCAACACACAACCCACTTAACGCTTTATCCAGTGCAGTCACGTACCTTATCACGTCTGATCCGCACCGAATGGCAGAACTTCTTAACATTTTATTTGAAGCTGAGCTTTCAGGGGAGGCAGAGACTGTAGCCCATTCTCAAGGCGACAGACCCAAGGCCCAGAGAAGTGCTTCAAGCTGTTCACTGTCACACAGCGGGTGAGTGACAGCGCTCCTGCACAAGCCTCTGACTCCAAATCCCGTGCTAAGATCAGGTTACTGAATCCAGCAAGAGGGAAGTCAGTGGGGGAAGC